TTGCCATCACATTCTAGTTCTTGTTATAGTTTCTTTCTAGGGACTTGTGGCTTTTATTAGTTCTCAACTTGGGTTCAAAATATTATGGTTGTAGTTTATTATGGGCTATCTAATTAGGATCCATGTTTTTTTTACTGGTCAGGAAGAGAAAGCAAAGGTGATTCAAACATTGCTCTTTGTTGCTGGTTTGAATACACTAACTCAGACTTTGTTTGGTACAAGACTACCTGCTGTTATCGGAGGCTCTTATACTTTTGTGCCAACAACACTTTCGATTGTCTTGGCTGGTCGATATAGTGATGTTTTGACCCCTCAGGAGGTGAACGGTTTAGAGTCTGTTTTCAGTTTGCTGCATTCTTTCTGATGTTGATATGATAAAGTAGTTGACCTTTTCTTTTACTTATAAACAGAAATTTGAGAAGATAATGCGAGGGATTCAAGGTGCTATGATTGTAGCTTCAACTCTTCAGATTGTTATTGGCTTTAGTGGCCTATGGCGGAATGTGACAAGGTAAGTTAAATGATCAGCTAAAGATATCATCATCATAATAACTTGTAAGTAAAGTAGTTGACTGACAAAAAGAATTAAAAATTCTGATTATGATAAATAATTCTTGACTGAAGGTTAACTAGTTAGCCCTATTTCCCATTTCAAATCTCAGGTTCATCAGTCCACTCTCCACAATTCCATTGGTAGCTCTATCAGGATTTGGATTATACGAATTTGGCTTTCCTCTGGTAATCTTTTATCTGTAAAAAATTAGCTTCTGCCTGAAATGATAAGCATGTCCATTGTGGTAACTGATTTTTTTTTTGCATTTAGGTGGCAAAATGTGTGGAAATTGGATTGCCACAGCTTATCGTTCTCTTAATCTTTTCACAGGTGGATTTAGTCACAACTTTCCTAGATGCTTGTTGTTTCCTATTATATCTTTTCTAGTTCAATTTATGGACTTAGGAAAAAAAAATGCTCTGAATCTGACTTTTACAAGTTCAACCAACATGTTAACAAATATTTCTGCTTGTGTATGCAGTACATACCCCATATGATGAAAGGGGATAGGCATGTCTTTGATCGGTTTGCTGTTATATTCTCTGTCGTGATTGTATGGGTCTATGCTCACATTCTCACTGTCGCTGGAACTTACAAAAATTCACCAATGAAGACTCAACTTAGCTGTAGAACTGATCGTGCGGGAATTATCAGTGGATCTCCATGGTAAGGGTAGTTCATTCTCTTGAATTCGGAACTGCCCAAATTTATCAAAATAAAGTCTAGACTGAAGTTGGCAAAGACATATAATTGTTGGATATGCCTCACAAAGTGTAAAAACATGTTATGTACGCAGTGGTGAAAAGAGGTATGTCGTTAACTATGAACTGTATGCTAAATATTCTACTCGTATATCTTGGACAGGATTAGAGTTCCATATCCATTTCAATGGGGAGCTCCCACATTTGATGCTGGAGAAGCATTTGCAATGATGGCGGCTTCACTTGTTGCTCTTGTCGAGGTTAGTCAATCCCAAAACAAGTTGCTCATAAGGTTATGGTCCTATCTGATTTTGATGGAGTTTCCTTCTCTTCTGTGTAGTTGAAGTTAACTTATTCGCTACTTGAAAACATGGCTAACTAATACAAGTTTCTGTCGTGTTTTGGCTGTCAACAGTCTACTGGTACCTTCTTTGCCGTGTCAAGGTATGCCAGTGCAACTCCTATACCTCCTTCTGTCCTTAGCCGTGGTGTCGGTTGGCAGGTAAATCCGCTAAATTACCAATGTGGAGATTCTTACATTAAAGATTGTGACCTGATAGTAATAAAAAGAATCAATCTTTTACTATATCCTCTTATAGCTTAAAGTTCAAATATCATCTTATATACATATGTTATTTTCTGCAAGCAAAATCAGTACAATGGAACCCAATATTTCCTCTGCTGAAAGAATGTATCCCAATTTCCCTATCATTCAAGGTGTTAATTACCTATGGTTCTAAGATTAGTTTTCTTTGTTTTCTTTAAGGGTGTGGGCATATTGTTCTCAGGAATATTTGGAACCGGAAATGGCTCATCTGTATCTCCGTAAGACTCTTGTTAAGTTCCACCAAAGATGAAATTTTTTCATTAGTGTGCGAGCAATGTCCTTATCACTCATACCAAAGAATGTTAATATTTCCTTTCTGTTCTATAGAGAAAATGCTGGCTTACTCGCATTAACCCGTGTTGGGAGCAGGAGAGTGATTCAGATATCTGCTGGTTTCATGATCTTCTTCTCAATTCTTGGTTAGTTCTTTGCTGCATGTAATTATTTAGCTCAGATTAATTCTTTGAAATACGACAAATATTTGATGGTTAAACTTGTGTTGAACCAGGGAAATTCGGAGCTGTCTTTGCCTCAATCCCTGCACCAATAGTTGCAGCATTGTATTGTCTCTTCTTTGCCTATGTTGGTATGTATTATCAATTAATATTGTGTTGGTATATTCCTAGGACAATTATAATGTTTGCCCTTAATGTGTTTGCAGGTTCAGCTGGTCTCAGTTTTCTCCAGTTCTGCAATTTAAACAGCTTTAGAACAAAGTTCATTCTAGGATTCTCAGTTTTCATGGGCTTATCTATTCCACAGTACTTCAATGAATATACAGCAATAAATGGATATGGTCCTGTTCATACTAGAGCTCGATGGGTAAGTAATCCCTCTAACCCCCTTTCCCATATTACTACATCAATATTACTTATACGAAAAGGGTCAAAATACCCCTCCACGATACCAAATATTATAATCTTAACACCCCTTATAAGCTAGGGCCTAGGGCCATTCATATCCTTGTCGTTAGCAAATTGCTTTCTCTCCAACATGGCAACTGAACTATATCGGAGGATAACTTTTAGACCACCAAAGTCAAAAGTAGAGGGATAAATTTAAACTATTTCCCAAGTATTTTGCTATACTGGAGCTACGTTAGTATCAAAGACAAATATAAGACAATTTGCTTATAATAAGGGTATGAATGGTCTCAAAGCATAAGGGGGGTTGAAATTAAGATATTTCTTTTAGTAATGGCCTAAATGAGTTGTTGCATTTTGTTCTTTTTACCAGTTCAATGACATGATCAATGTGCCCTTCTCGTCGGAACCATTTGTTGCTGGTTTATTGGCATTATTCCTAGATGTATCACTGCATAAAAAAGACGCCGCAACACGGAAGGATAGGGGCATGCCATGGTGGGATAAGTTCAAGTCATTCAAGACAGATACAAGAAGTGAAGAGTTTTACTCATTGCCCTTCAATCTCAACAAGTTTTTTCCCTCTGTATGATTGAAGGGGATAGATAGATAATCCGAACTTTATAGTCCCCCAATAGCTCATTGTGGGTATGAATATATTAACCAAACAATTTCTGCTGCCCTGAATTTTCTGTAACTCGGGAAAAATTAAGCATCAGTCTAGATGAGTGACTTGTTTACTCAACAAATCCACTCCTAATGTTGTTTGTTAGAGAGGTAATGTAGCTGGATCTTGATATAAGTATATTGATTTAATCAATTAAAAAGTCCACAAAAAAGCGTCATTTTGTTACAACTAGTTCTTTGCATTTTGCACCCTTTTATGAGCAGATCATTTTCTACAAGATTTGGTCCCTAATCTATTCATTTCCTTGCAACATTGTACATTCCTTTTGTTTTGTTTGGAATTAGCAATGAGTGGATTAAGTAGAGTTAAGTTAACAAAAATATGGATCTAGGATGTTGGTTATGTTTGTGATTAAGAAAATGGGCTTATTATGGTATTTATTTGGACTTCTCGTTTGGCCCTCTAAGTTTGGAATAATGATGCTCAACGATCACCACTTCTCTTTTTTTTCTTTTTGGTCCATTTCAATTCCTTTATGGGTAAATTAATAACATTTTCATTTCCTTCCGTAAGAATAATACAGAGCTTCATTTCAGACTTCTTCTTTTTCTTTCTCATCTTCTAGAACCTTCAGTTCCTACATAGCTAGAGCTTCTCAACATGGTATCAGAGCCCGGTGCTCGTCTCACTGAAGCTCTGCTGTGATAGAACTGGAGTAATTCAATTCATTTCTAGTTTCTCAATCTCATCGATCGATCGAGCTATTTTTTCAACACAGAAGACTTCTCACTCGTTCTAGGGTTTGGGAATTCTCAATTATCTGGTTGAATCACGGTCAGATCGAGCTCAATTTTGTGAGAAATTAACAGTCTGAAAGCTTTGTGTCTCTGCTACAATGGCGATTAATGAAGAAACTGATGATTCTCCATTTGCGACTTCAATCTCTGCGCCAACTACAGAGCTTGTTGATCACAATCATTCTCTTTACATTTATCGTTCTAACACTCAAGGTTCTGTACTTACTTCTGTTCAGCTTCAAGGTTCAGAAAATTATTCAATTTGGAGTAGATCTATGAAAATTGTTTTGCATGATAAAAATAAATTAGGTTTTGTTCTAGGCACTTGTAGAAAGTCTAGATATGGTGCTAGTTTGTATGAATTGTGGGACAGATGCAATGCTATTGTGCTTGCTTGGATAATTAACACAGTTTCACCTAGTTTGATCAGTTTTGTGATCTATGCCTCTGATGCACACACTGTTCGGGAGGATCTCAAGGAGAGATTTGATAAGGATAATGCATCTAGGGCTTGTTATTTGCACAAGGAAATTGCCACACTGACTCAAGGCATATCCTCTGTCTCAATATACTATACTAAACTGAGAGAACTCTGGGATGAGCATGAAACACTAACACCATCACCTTCACGTGGTTGTGCTGAATCTAGGAAACACATAGAACATTACCAGATACAGAAGCTATATCAATTCCTCACTGGTTTGAATGAATCCTTTGAGAATGCTAGGAATCAAGTGCTTATAACCCGACCCCTACCAAATCTGAATCAGGCCTATGTCATGATCGTAAATGTCGAGAGCTAGAGGATTAGTGGAAAAGGTGCATATGATGAAAGCAATGAAGTTGCAATGATGAGTAACAAGATGTATACTGGAGGTTACAATGGTGGAGGACAATCTAATGTCAGTTCAAATAACTCAAATGGAAGTTATAAACCTAGAAACACAGCTGGTAAATCTACAGTCTGGTGTGATTATTGCAAATACAAAGGTCATACCAGGGAAAATTGCTTCAAGTTTCATGGTTATCCATCTGATTTCAAGAACAAGAGAAGAGGTGGAGCTCCACATGCTCAAGCCAATAGTGCTATTAATTCTAGTTGTTCAGAGCCACAAGTACAGGGACAACAGGTGACAACTACTCCATCTCCAGCTCATTTCTTCACTCAGGAACAGTACCAGCAAATCATGCACCTGTTGAACAAGGACATGGAGGTTGAATCTGTGGCCAATGGTGTTGCTGCAGGGCCAACAGGTACTGCACATGCTTTTATGACTAATCTAGTTCATAATAACTGGATAATAGACACATGTTCCACAAACCATATGGTTCACAGTTTGAATTTGCTAGAGACTTATGATGAAATACTTGATAATGCTAGGAGTAAGGTTCATTTACCAACTAGAGAACATGTGTCTATCACTCATGTAGGTATTTGTTCATTCTTCAAGAACAAGAAGGTTCAGAATATCTTTCACATTCTAGAGTTTAAGTACAACCTCCTCTCAGTATCAAAACTCACAAAGGAACTGAGGTATCTTGTAGCAATTTACCCTGACTTCTGTGTCTTTCAGGAACTCTCAAGTGGAAAGGTTTTGGGGATTGGTAAGGAAGCGCTTGGTTTGTATATCCTCAAGGTAGATGACAGACAAGTGCTCAATCAACAAGCTTCCTCTTCACTAGTATCTCTTTCTACTTCAACTGTAAATACCATATCAGATGACATCAATAAAGGTAATAACCTAACAGAGAATAAGTCATGTCCTGTATTCTCCTTATGGCATAAGAGGTTAGGTCATTCTCCTTTAAAGGTTTTGAGGTCTGTGAAATATTTGCATGATATGCATTTTAAACAACATCACTGTACTGCGTGTCATGTTGCCAAACAATCAAGACTACCATTTCCTGTTAGCTCCTCTTACTCTAAATCTATTTTTGATATGGTTCATGGTGATATTTGGGGACCTTATAGAGTACCTACTCATGATGGAAAAAGGTATATTTTAACCCTAGTAGATGACTACTCAAAATATACTTGGCTTTTCTTACTGCATTCCAAGTCAGATACTAATGAAGTATTGAAAAACTTTGTAGAACTAATATATACACAGTTTGATAGCAAGCTTAAATGCTTAAGAACAGAAAATGGTATAGAATTTTTCAATGATCAATTACAAACCTTATTAAAGAAACAGGGGATTGTGCATCAAACCTCCTGTATATATACTCCTCAACAGAATGGAACTGTTGAAAGAAAACACAGGTCAATCTTGGATATGGCCAGAGCTCTCAGATTCCAAGCTCACTTGCCTCTCAGGTTCTGGGGAGTGTGCCTCTACTGCAGTCTACCTCTTAAATAGATTGCCTACTATTGTGCTACAAGGCAAATCCCCTTTTGACAATCTCTTCCAAATGAGCCCTTCCTTATAACATTTGAGGGTCTTTAGAAGCTTGTGTTGTGCTACTCAAGTGAGAAAAGGTGACAAATTCTGTCCCAGAGCAATTCCTGCTGTGCACATGGGCTACTCTTCTTCACAAAAGGGTTACATTCTCTATGATTTATGCTCCAAAAGGTTTTTTGTTAGCAGGGACACTGTCTTCAAGGAAGAAGTGTTCCCATTCAAGCATATGTCATCAGGTGCATCACCTTTGTTTCCTATACTGGAGCTTGTGGAATAGCCTACTCAGTCAGCATTTGTTCCTGTAAATGCCTAATTTTTGCCTAGTATATATATATATATATGTATGTATGTATGTATATATATATATATATATATATGTATATGTATGTATGTATGTATATATATATATGTATATGTATATGTATGTATGTATGTATGTATGTATGTGTGTTTGTTCTTATTTATGTATGTATAGGTTTTAAAAATTGAGTAACGGTTTGATAAATGGGGTAGGGATTGGGCTAGTGTAATTTAATTAAAATTGTGCCAAAATTGGCCCAAAATGTGAGCCCAAAGAGCCCAAATTCGGTCCAAAAGGGGGCTGCCAAGAAGAGCTTAAAACGACGTAGTTTTGTCTTGAAACTATGTCGTTTTGGTTAAGTGACAAGATTCAATCTCATCCATTCATCCCTCCCTCATCCAATAGTCCACAATCAATCTTCCAACTAGGTATTTAAGACTTAGAAATACTGAAATTTTGCCCCCAATTCTCCCGTAATTATTTTCTCCTCCCTCTCTCTTCTCTATCTTTTCTCTCTCTCTTTCTCCATAACCGCCGCCCCTCCACCACTGTCGGAAATCGCTCACCGGCGGCGGACCACGTCCAAACCATCTCAAATTTTCACCATGTAATCTCCAACACCTCCTCTTTCCATATCTCCACACCAAATCCTTCAAAACCCCCTCAAACTCCTTGAATCTTAGATCATGGAAGTTTTAACCGCCACTTTTTTGCCCAAATTCTTGAAGCTCCGACCACTACCACCCCACAATACCTACATCAATGGATAGAGCTCTTCAAGACCTAGCTATTGATGCCAATTTCACCCTAAAAATCCGGCAACCAAAATCCGGCCAAATTCCGGCGGCCTTCCCGAACGCCCTCTTTTGGCATACCACCATTTTTTCGGCCACTTGAATTGTAAAATGGTAAAAATCCTATCCTTTTTTGTGGTTGATTTTATTTTATTTTTATTTTTAAAATTTTATTTTGTCTATTATTAATTATTTTAGCATTAGTTTTTGAAGTTTGAAATGTTAAAATTTCTGTTTTTGCACTTGTTGAAGTAGTAAAATAGTTTTATATTAATAAAAGTGAGGTAGTGAAGAATACCTAAGAGTATATGGTACTTGTTTGGTTGTTTATTTTCTGCTTCAAGACTCTTTGAGTACAACACTCAAAAGTCAAATTGTTTGGTAAGAAAATGTAGACTTTTGGATAGTGTATGAATAAAAAGTTTGTCTTTAAATAGTGGAGAGAAGATTTTGTTTGAAATACTTGACAAGATTTGAACCAGAAAGTCTTGATTTTTGAATTTAAGAGCAGATTTTGTAGAAAAATCTGTCAAAAAGATTGTTTTTTTATTTTTTGAAATAGCTGGTTGTTTTGATATAAAAAGGAGGACACTCCATCTGACTGGAGGGAGCTCTACACACAAAAAAGAGAAAAAAAAATCAGTAGCTATAATATCTCTTAGCAGCTTTTGTGAGTTGATTCTTAAGTGAAAATTTTGTTTAAGGAAAATAGAGTAGTCTTGAAAGATTTTTTTGGAGTTACATAATTGTATTATTTTGCTGGGGTATTTCTAGTTTATTTTCTTGGGTTTGAATCTGCCGGTTGTCGCTGTCTTTTGCTGTTAGTGTTGCCCGTTTAATTGTTTTGCTGTTGATTTTGGAAAGAGCTGACTCTGCTGTATTTATTCTTCTTTCTGTTGTTCAGGTAATTTTCGGACCATGTAAACTCATAAAATCGAGTTGGAATGAAAGATAATAATGCTGAAAAATATTAGTAGCTTCATCCTTCTATTGTAATTCATTTTTATATGCTCTTGAATATTTGATTATGTTATAACGATATGTTAGTTAATTAAATTGTGTTAAGCATCTTTAATTATTTGCATTCTTATTTTTTTCAAAGCATTAGATATAATTCCACTGGGCATTTGATTGTCTGAAAGGAGCATATATATTAAAATTTAAACCCGTGTAGCTATGTTTGTCCCTTTGTTGTCACCAAGCTAGGTTTTTTTTTTTTTTTATTATTATTATTATTATTATTATTATTATATTTTTAGAGTCCCAATAATCTTTTTTTTATATCTTAAAATACTTACTTAGTAAGGTAGTTAAGTTATAGATTAGAAAGATAATCTGTAAAATTATTTTTGTAAATAGTTGGCTACGGATTGCAAATAGAAAGATAGGGCCAAATCTGTAACATAACTTTAAAAGGTCATATCTGCAGATTTAAAGTCCAAAAGCATATGAGCTTTTGGATTTTGTCTTGGACATGAGCCCATTTGACTCCATCAACCCAATAGTGGGCTGCCTCATTCAATATCAAGACAAGCCCACATCTTACTAGTTTTAAGCAATGTCAATTAATAATTTTCTCTCATTAATCTCATCTTTTAAATTAGTACTCATAACAATAATTTTCTCTCATTAGTTAAGTTGTAGATTATTATTCAAATCTTTTCTTTATTTTTTTTTAAATAAATAAAAGCGGACATAAGAAAAGCATTAAAATCAAATAAATCACAGTTTATCCAAGTTTAATTCAAGCCAAATGTAGTGAATAAAGTGACCGTGCTAGAACCACGAAACTCGGGGAATGCCTTACACCTTCTCCTCTGTCAACATAATTTCTTACTCGGACTTTGTTTTCGCAGACCAATAATAATAGAGTCAAACCTTCCTTTGAATAGGGATTCAAATAAAAGGTGACTGGGAACACCGACAAAAATCAATTCCAAGTGGCGACTCTGTAAATAAAATAATCCCTATTTCAAATTTGTAACTTCAAATGGAAAAACTCTTTAACCCACAGTCCATAACACGGTACATTTTGTACATATCTTTTGGAGGGGTAAAAAAAAGGGGTGTGACAGTTCCTAATGATACTTCCTCACCGGCATGATCTCCTATTCTCAACAATGTTGATGCTGTTGTTGTTGCTCCCAGTTCTGCATCTCTCTTTCCTTTGCCCTCACCAGTGCCTTCTCCTACCACAACTTGTGAATCCTCTGCTCTTTCTGTACCACTCAGGAAGTCTTCAAGATTAACTAAACCACCTGTGTGGCTAACTGACTATGTAGTTCCATCAAAGAAATCGGTCTGTTCCTATCCTATGATCAATCATATGGCATATGATAAACTGTCACCTAGTTGCAGATCTTCTTTGACTGCTTTCTCAGCCATTGTGGAGCCTAAGTCCTTTGCTGAAGCTAGTCAAGACCTCAAATGGATTGAGGCTATGAAGGCTAAGATTACTGCTCTTGAAGAAAACAAAACTTGGTCCATTATTCCTTTGCCTCTTGGGAAGTTTTCTATAGGCTGTAAATGGGTCTTTAAAGTCAAGTACAAATCCTCTGTTGAATTGGAAAGGTACAAATCAAGACTAGTAGCCAAAGGTTACAGTCAACAGAAAGGTTTGGATTATACAGAAACGTTTTCTCCAGTGGCTAAAATGGTCACTATCAGAGCTATAGTTGCCTTAGCTGTTGCTTTTGGTTGGTATGTGTTTCATATGGATGTCCATAATACTTTTTTTCAAGGAGATCTCCTAGAGGAAGTTTACATTCATGTTCTTGATAGCTTTTCAAGTGAGGGGGAGTGTCAGCAGGTATGCAAACTTCATAAGTCTTTGTATGGTTTGAAATGGACTCCTAGACAATGGAATATGAAATTAACTGAAGCTTTGGTTGATATGGGCTTTGTTCAATCTCACTATGATACTCACTCTTTACACAGAAAATAGCCTCAGACTTGGTTGTCATTCTAGTTTATGTGGATGATCTCCAGGTAACTGGAAGTTATATGACACTAATCAAACAGGTCAGGAAAAGGTTGCAAGAGAGGTTTAAGATGAAAGACCTTGGTAACTCAAATACTTTCTTGGCATTGAGTTCTCTAGATCTCAAGGCATAGTAATGTGTCAAAGGAAGTATGCCCTTGAGCTTGTGTCAGAGCTTGGTCTAGCAGGAGGAAAGACAGCAACTACACCTCTTGAATTCAACCATACGCTCACATCCATTGAGTTTGACAAAGAAGTACCAAATGACAATACTACTGAGGATAAGGAACTTGAAGAAAAAGGCAGTTATTAGAGGCTACTTGGCAGGCTGTTGTACTTGACCATGATATGGCCTACATTGCCTTTGTGGGTCAAGTACTCAGCCAATACATGCATGCACCTAAGCTGTCTCATATGGAAGCTGCCTTAAGAGTAGTGAGATTTATCAAGACTGCACTTGGCCTTGGACTGTTCATGCCTGCAAAAACATGCAAGCAGTTAGTTGCATCTTGTGACTCTGATTGGGGTGCTTGTGTGAAGACTAGGAGATCACTGAGTGGGTATGCAGTAAAGTTTGGTGAAGCACTGATTTCTTGGATGTCCAAGAAACAAGGAACTGTGTCTAAAATCTCTGCCGAAACTGAATTCTGGAGCATGGCTTCTACTGTAGCAGAGGTGGTATAGTTAACATGACTCTTCAAAGAATTGGGAACAGACATAGAGCAGCCTATACAACTTCATTGTGATAGTAAAGCTGCTATACAAATTGCTGCTCATCTCATCTTTCATGTAAGAACCAAACACATTGATATTGATTGTCATTTTGTGAAAGAGAAGATCGTACAAGGCTTAATTCATACCCAACACATCAGAACATTAGAACAACTAGCTAACCTGTTAACTAAGGGACTATGCAAGCCACAACATGAATATCTCTTAGGCAAGTTGGGCATGAAAGATATATTTTATCTCTCATCTTGAGGGGGAGTGTTAAGTAGTGTAGGTCCCAGCTATTTATACAAAATGTAATTAGTTAGAATATATTAGAGTTAGTTGTAGTTTTTAGAAGTTAGTTAATTGTGTATAAATAGGATGAGACTAAACAGTTGTATTTTCACGCTTTATTTTCATTTCCTTCTGTAAGAATAATACATAGCTTCATTTCATACTTCTTCTTCTTCCTTTCTCATCTTCTAGAATCTTCAGTTCCTCCATAGCTATAGCTCCTCAACAGAATATTGATTGTAGCGACACTCTGACTCGCTAATTTAAAATCTCAAATTCACTTGCGAACCAATGGATACGAATTGTGGCTGAGAATAGCATAGGAAGGTGTTGTTTAAACCAAATAATTACCTTACCCGGACTTTGTTTTCGCAGACCAATAATAATAGATTCAAACCTTCCTTTGAATAGGGATTCAAATAAAATGTGATTTGGAAAACCGGCAAAAATCAATTCCAAGTGGCGACTCTGTAAATAAAATAATCCCTATTTCATATTTGTCACTTCAAATGGAAAAACTCTTTAACCCACAATCCATAACACGTTACATTTTGTACATATATTTTGGAGGGGTAAAAAAAATGGGTGTGACAGCTCTGACGACTCCACTGGGAACTAACCAGAATTCGAGCTTGTACATATTGACTTTTATTTGGCTTTATTTATTTTGTATATATTTTGATTTATTTGTGCATAATGTGCTACCTGTTCGCTTTTTACTGCTTCGATATTGTTGAACTGTACATATAAACTGTCTTCTCACGCACCCCTTTGAGTCTTTTTGAAATTAAAAATTGGGCATTTGCTTGACATAAGCCCCCTTCTTTGAGATAGCCGAGGTGCTTATCGCCCGATGAAGGATTTTAGTCACACATGTTTTAGGCGGGGAGCACCACTAGTTAAGCCGGAAAACAATGCTACCGGTAGACTGACCCTCCTCGGCTCGAGTTGTCCGCTCGAGTAAGCCAGTGTAGATACCTTCTCCACCAGGATTTAAACCTAGAAGAACAAACCTCATGCCGGATGTCCCTAGTAGGTTCGTTTTATGTGCATCACGTGCATTTGACTTAGCGAAACTCGGCACAGGGGCCGGGGTCCGTATAAGACATATATCCTCTTTGAGATCATCATGTTCACTTATGTGCTATTTGATACATCATTTGGAAGGCTTACTTGCATTTTTGACCGATTTTAAAAATTAGTGTAATTAAAATAAAATAAAAAGAGAAAAAAAGGGAGTCATTCTTTTAGTTTAGCGCAAAAAACCCTTTTAAAAGAAATATTTTGTAGTAGTCTGATGTGAGGTGTAAGGATTATTTTTCATAAAAATCAAAAGGAAAAAGTACCCAGTTTCACCGAACTACGCGGGTCTGATTCTCACCGGATGTAAGATACGTAGGAAAACCTCATCGGTTCCAACCCCAATTTTCAAAAATTCCAAAAATATTTTCCCTTAGTTCCTTCTTAAGAAATCTTTCCTTAGAAAATTCAAAAAAAAAGAAAGAAGTTATTAAACTCAAAAAAGAAAATTTCCCTCTTTCTGAAGTCTTTCATATGGAAAATAAAATAAAAAAAAATTAAAATCCAAAATACGGGTTTCCTTTATTTTGAAGTATTTTTCTCAAAAATTCAAAAAAAAATGAATTGAAAAAAAAAATCTTTTCCTTGTTTAAAAGTTCTCTTTCAAAAAATGTTTTTTGAAAAATTGAATTCCAAAAATATTTTGCTTTTCTTTAGAAGTGCTTTTGTGAATAAATAAAAAACTCAGAAATTCAAAAATTATTTTTCTTAAACGTTCCCTCTTTCGAAAATTAAGAAACAACATATAAAATGCAAAAATATTTTCTTTGTTTTTTAGAAAAAGAGAAAATAAATGAAAATTCAAATAAAAATATTTTCTTTTTACTTTTATATTCCCAAAATTCAAATCAAAAGCAAATGAATTTTTTTAGAAGTCTTTCTTTCAAAAATAAAAAAAAAATATATTTTCCTTCTTCTTTTAAAGCATTTCTTTCAAAAAATTCCAACTAAAACAAAAGTGTTAGCTTATTTACTCTATTCTCGATCTTCCCGAACTACGCAAGATCTGATTCATGCGGCGCCATGATATATAGGCAATCCCCATCGGATTTGATCATAGCCGTAAAATAATTGAGTAAAAAAGAAATAAAAAAAAAAGAGAAAGAAAATTGAGTGAAAAAAAAAGTGTAAAAAGAAAAGAAAAGGAGAGTTACATAAAATAAACGAGTGAAAAAAAAAGAGAAAAATAAAGTGCCAAAATAGAAAAGTGACATAAACAAAACAAAATTCAAGAGTAATTAGAGAGAAGCAAAAATGAAGAAAAGAGGTGCAGATTGAAAAAAAAGGGATAATTAAGGCCGGGATGAAACATGCAACTCGTTCAGACACATAGTAGAAACGTTTAACTGTTTGGGTGCATTGCATCCCAATATGTGATTTCCTATCTGTTAAGCATCTCAAAACTAACAAAGTTGTTGGGTGTGCAAATTAGAGCCAGGTTTTGGTGGTTGGTTTTGTTGGTAGTCTAGTCTCCCCTCCTTCACAAGATCCAAAGTCACAGATGGCCTCCGCAAACAATCTACCAATCATCGGTCCTGAGGATAGCCCGACATCGGCTATTCTGCAGCTAGAATCAACAGCTGCTGAAGAGAACAAAATGTTATGTCTCCGCATATTGGAAATGTGGGACGCCTGGTCTAATGGTAGGGAACCGCCAAGTGCAATCCCTGAGTTCCCTTAGTTGATCCCCAGGTCAGGTGAGGTTACCAACGCCCCTCTGCCCAACCCGCTCATCCCATGCGGGCACTCTCCAATGCCCTCCAATGATCCTGGCATGCCTTCTGTGGTTCGCCCCCAGGCACCAGCTTCAAGGGCACCGCCTCCAACGTTCATCTTTCAGGGTCCACAACTTCAACCAGAAATAACATATGTGACCCCGTACTCTTTCATTCAACCTCCGCAATATGATCTCTCGGAGGAGCAAGAAATGATTGTTAAAAATCCTGAGCAAGAGGAAATGGCTCGGAAGATGAAGAGCCTGGAACAAAGCCTGAAAAACATGCAAGGTCTGAGTGGTCAAAAGAGTGTCTCATACTTCGACCTCTATATGTTTCCCCATGTCCACTTTCCAGCTGGATTCAAGATGCCAAAATTTAAAAAGTACAATGGGAACGGAGACTCGGTTACTCATCTGAAACGATACTGTAACCAATTGAAGGGTTCTTGTGGAAAAGAGGAGCTACTAATGGTCTATTTTGGGGAAAGCCTCACCGGATTCGCTTCTGAGTGGTATACGGATCAAGAAATTACCCATTGGCACATGTGGGATGATATGGCTCGAGATCTTGTTCGTCAGTTCTAGTATATTATGGACATCGCTCCCGACAGAAATTCTTTGTTCAATTTGAAAAAGAAAATCACGGAAAGCTTATGCGAATATGCTGTCCAATGGCGTGACCAAGCTGCCAGGGTAAAGCCTCCAATGAATGAATTTAAAATGGTCACGGTCTTTCTACAGGCCCAAGAGGCGGACTACTTCCAGAACATGATGTCCGCTATGGGAAAGCCATTTTCTGAGGCTATCAAAATTGGGGAGATGGTAGAAAGTGGGCTAAAACGGGTCGAATCTTGAGTCATGCTGCTTTTAGAGCCACATCACCAGCTGTCCAAAATAGTTCGGAGGGTTTGATGAACAGTAATGGGAGTGAGGAGGGAGCCATGATGGTTTCAATCTCGAGAGGGGCCCGCAGGTCATTCAGCGAGTCATGTGTGCCTCTTATGGTCCCACCACACTATTATCCCCTTCAAAATGATGCTTATGCTGTGGCACCGCCTCCCTATGCAGTGATGAGCGCGCAATTTTACACGCAGCCACAACATCATACACAAAACCGAGCTCCACCTCCTAGAAATGCCCATCCTTACCAAGCTCCATATAATCCTCAACCAAATGATCCCCAATACAATCCTCGCCCAAAGGAAGCTTTTCAGAAAGAATCAGTTCACCCCTATTGGTGAATCATATTGAAGTTTGTTCCAAAAGCTAATCAGGCTAGATCTATTGCAGCCAGTGGCCCCGAACCGGCCGAACCCCGAGTCCCCTTCGCACCGAGCTGACACTAGATGTGAATACCACTCTGGAGCAGTGGGACACAATACGAAGGACTGTTGGACCCTCAAAAGTTCTGTTGCCTGCCCACAACATCGGGCCAATGGTCAGAAAGATTTGTGAAGCTGAGGAATTTAATCCGGCACTGAAGGCCATTGCAGCCATTGCCGAGACAGAAGAAAAACCAAAAAATTGTCGCCAAGCATGAAAGTTCCCCATCAAACGGGAGTCTTAGTGGCCAGTCTTGCTATCTTTTCTGCATCCGGATTATCTCAGGGTGTGATCCGGATGTTTTATCTTATTGTCTTACTTTCTGATGCAAACCATTCTATCTTCAAAAAATTGAAAAAAAATCAAATCAAAAATCAAAAATCAAACGAAATTAATATTTCATTTTCTAGGAATGTCTCTTTTCTTAATCTTGTCATTTTTCTTTCTTATTCTCTTTTTAGTTCTGTTAAATGCAGATTTCAATAACATGACATGCTTGCAGACTTCATGCCCAGATCCTGAAAGTTGTCAGGCCTCGAAATAATGAATCAAGGATTAG